CCCTGGCAAGTGCAAGGGCCTGAGTTCAATCCCCCGTTCTGAAAAAAAAAAATTAAAAAAATAAAAAAATAAAATAAGCATTATTGGAGAATTAAAACTAAAGGAAATATAATTTCAGGGAAAAATAAATGTATACAATGCTAAAAATTAAATAATGAATCTAGTCTAATCATAGTTCTTACTTTACTGTGTTCAGAATTTGTTCCTCTTTCCCACTAGACTTGCAGGAAAGAACACAGCATTAAGCAGTGTGTGACAAAATCTCCTAACTTAAGAATCAATTATAATAATTCTCAATTTTTATTAGCTAAAATTTTTATAAATATGAATGGCTTAAGAAATTACCTCATACCAATCTCAGCCACAAATACTGACCTTAAGTTAGATGTAACTTTTTGTAGACCAAAGTTACATTTGTTAACATGTGTATGGAAGGAAAGAGAGTGAAAGTGAGGAAATGATCTTTAGTAACAAGAAAAACAAAAAATTTACAATAAAAGTGCTGCATGTGAATGGGGAACTATAATCACTTGAGGAACATCTATGATCCTTATGGAGATAAATCAGAGAACTGCCCAAATTTGTATTACATAAAACTCTCTCTCTCTCTCTCTATATATATATATTTTTTTTTTTTTCCATTTAAACCTCAAACTTAATAATGGATGTGGGATAAGCTTGCTTACCACCTAAAAATTATATATCTGTAAAGTTTGGATTTTTGAAAATACCACAGTCCTTAGAAAGCTACGTCACAGATGATGGATTGCTTCTTTTTCAACCTCAAACATTCTGCTTCTTGAATACCTGTACTGTAAAGGGGGTTCTTCACCATTGGGTAGATGGGGGATCTCAGGTGGTATTACAAAAACAGTGTGTTCACTTTTGAAAGACTCCTCCAGTTCTATAAGTCGTACTTCACCACTCTTGTCCATATCCACCTGAAAGAATTTAAAAAATACATATTTTAAAAAATCCTTTTAGTCAAAGGTCCATCTACAGGTAATGATTAAACAATTTCAAAAAAGCATCCTAAAGAACTGTTAAAATAACAAACTGAAAATTACTGTACACAGTACACTATCTTTTCAGCATGAAAAATGGAAAGTAACATATATTCATTTTTGCTTACATTTACATAAAGAAATACATGGAGAAGAGTAATGAGATGGATAAAGACAAGACAAAACCTAGATAACCCAGTGTACACCTCTTTACATTGTTTTGTACTTTTGAATCATGAGCATATAGTCAAGAAATATTTTATAATGTGTACACTAGAATAGTTAGCTCTAAATGTTTTTTTTTCTTTTCAAAGTTTTATTGATAAACATATAGCAATGAGACAGTTTCAAATCAAATCGAATCTAAATGTTTTTTTAAATTTTATTTTATTTTATATATTTTTTAAAATTTATTTTATTTTATTTAGCTAGTTTTTTATTTTTTTTTCAAAATTTTATTGATAAACAGATAGCAATGAGACAGTTTCAAATCCAATCGGAAGTACAGTTTCAACAAATAATACACTGCATATATTCTTCTTAGTGGTTAATTGTTGTACAAGATGCAGAGCTGAGATCTTATTTACAAACACCATTAGAACAAATCATTCTATTCATTAAGAGAATGTAACTATATATCTATCCTAACCACTTTGAATACACAGATACAAAATGGACATTCATCGGTATACCCCATTTTTTCTAAGTTCCGTTATTGAATATTATAGGTGTGTACGCTCAGCAAAATATTCTAAAAGAGTCCAGTAGCCCATAATAGCATTGGGTCTTCTGTTTAACTGGCAATGTCAGAAATTATTGACCTGAGTCCCCCACAGCTCAACATAACAGCATGGCTTTACTTCCTATGTTTCGTCTTCATACTTTTCTACTGAATGGTTAAGACCAAGGTAAAGCAGGACCTGTGCAACAAGAGTTGTAGCTTTTGGGTCTGAGAAGGTCAGTGAAATGCCCTCAGGATTTATCCTGAGATCCTGTACCTCAGATTGTAGAACCTTTGTCAGTGTCAGCCATGTGGATGAGTCACGGCCATTGCTTGGCCAATGTGCTCTCTGTGAAAGTCTGAGAGAGTGTCTTTTCCCCATGTGACTCTCCTTAGGCACACTCTATTAAAATTTATTTTAAATGTAACAACTTCCACTTGCTTTTTAAAGTACACTATATGTAGGATAACATTTGAATTAAACCTTAGTTCTATCAATATTGAAAGCATTTAAGTAGCAATATTAAGGTAGTACTGTACGGCAAGGAAACACTAGGAAAAAATGAAAACTGCACAGGGCTTAAATTGCTCCACAATACTCATAAATCAAACAGCAGAACACTGATACTAATTTTCAAAAAGTTATCATACATTTGACAGATATGTTGCACAGAACTGTATTTTCATAAGAAAAAATGTATACTAGACAAAATGAGTAAACTGGGGAACAAGAACTGTTAACAAGTTATATTTTTAAAATCACTTTATTTGGTATAGAATCTCACCATGCAGCTCAGATTTGTAGTGATCCTGTCTCAGCCTCCCCAGTGCCAGGATTACAGGTGTGTACTGTCACGCCTGGTTTTGGTGGCCATCATGGCACACCCTGGGTTTTGGGGCCAGCATGGCATGTAGTACTGGGGATCAAACCTAGGCAGGCACTTAGACCACTGAGCTATCTTCCCTGCCCAACAAGTTATATTTTAAAGAAAAGGAATTAGGGCTGGCCAAATAGCTCCGTGGATTAAGGTGCCTGCAAGCAGGTGCAGGGGCTGGGGGTTTGATCCCCAGGCCTGCCATGCTGAGCTGAGACAACAATTGAGACTGGGCATAGTGGTGTGTGCCTGTAATCCCAGCTCTTGGGAGGCTGTAAACAGGAGGATCACGAGTCCAATCTAGTAGTGAGACCCTGAACACCCTGTAGACCCTTCCCTAAAATACAACAACAACAAAAAAAAAAGAAAGAAAGAAAGAAAGAAAGAAAGAAAAGGAGTTAACACAGAGTATAGCAAAAAAAAAAAAAAAAAAGGAAATAAAATACCAAACTAAACAAAAAAAGTTTAAAGTTTTTTTCTATTAACAAGTATGTGCAAAATTTTATTATATAAATTATTGATTATAATTTCACAATACTACATATTGTAATTTCCAAGATTAAAAATATTACTAATGCTAATCCATAAAGTGAACTAGCTAACATTAGGGCATGTTTGTGAATCATAACTAATGACAAGAGAAAATGTTCACAAAATAATGATACACGAAAAAAATTGAGCTAAACTATATATCCATTATGATTAATTTTAAAACAGTAAGTATATTATGCAGATACATCTTTGCATTCTCTCACACACATACACAACAAACACACATGCACAAACTTCTTAAACTTGGTATGAGTATTGTCATCAATGAACAATTTTTTTCCTTTATTTTTCAATCCAAAATTCATTTGATTTTTTTCTTTTTCTGTATTTTAGGGAAGGGTCTACAGGGTGTTCAGGGTCTCACTACTAGATCAGACGCATAGTGACTCTCCTGTTTACAGCATCCCAAGAGCTGGGATTATAGGCACACGTCACCACACCCAGTCTCAATCACTATCTCAGGGTGCCCCAGGGGTGGGCACAGCATGGCAGAACCAGAGATTGAACCCCCAGCCTCTGCGCCTGCTTGCAGGTGCTTTAATCCACTGAGCTATTTGGCTGGCCCTCATTTGATTTTTTATAAATACAAAAAGTAATAAATTCATAATAAAAACTTTTTAAAAATATTTTTTATTCAATCTCTATTATATAAACAATGAACAAAAATAAGAGACATCACTTGGGCAATGTATCACTGAAGAGTGAGGGTGACAATGATTAAAAACATGGCCTAGGGGACTTCCTGGTCTCAGCTCTACTGCTGATTAGCAGTGATCCTGGGGCAGGCACCCCATTTTTGTCACTTCAGTCTCCCCACTTGTAAACCTGAGATGATAACAGTACCCACCTCATATAGTTAAGAGGACTGAACAAAGTAATATTTGAAAAACATTTAATACAAAGCCCAGTTCATGGTAAGTGCTATGCTTACAAAACAAATCAAAACAAAGCCTTAAAGTAACTGGGTTAATTTCTCCAGGAACCTGTCAAATCTTTATCCCTACATACTTTTTAGATCTGCTACAGTAGATATAGACACAATTCTGTGTTCTTTTTATTTCTTCATGTATAGTGATAGTGCCCAAAATTACTGTATAATTTATAAAAGAAGTTAGACTAACTGTCCAACAATGCAGCAATGATCACACGAAAGACAATGACAATTTGGGTGATTAGTGTCGCCTCCATGCCAACACCATCAGCTTCAGACTTTTACAAACAACCTTTCCACCATTAGTAATCTCACTAATTGTTTCCTTAAGAAATTAATCTTGATCAAAAGTAAATACTCCATTTAATACTAGAGCACTTTTTTTTCTTAAATTCAAATTTAGTCTTCTTTATTCCAGCACACAGACCCCCCATCTGAGTAAAACCTATCTGCACTTCTAAAGTTATGCACAAAATGTGAATGTCTCCAATCATTACTCTGGCCTGATGAAAAACTATTTTCAGTCAAACACCATTTTTGGCATAGAGTTTTCCCTTTAGTGACACTCACTGATCTGCCTATAAAATCAGTGCTGAAAGAGTAACCGCCATACTCCCAAGTCATGTTACTTAGAGATTACCAGAGAATAAAAATGTAAACAAGGCAGAATATATTGCTTTTAGAACAAATTATTTCAATTCTGTTGGGATATTTAAAAGTTAATCAGCATAGAGATGCTATCTTCCCCTTTTAGCTTGTCAAACACTTTTATATGGTAAAACTAGCAATAATGCAATAAATACAGTAAATTGAGCAATCACATATCCTGCACTATTCAAAACTGATACCATCTTTTTTAGACAGCATGATGTGTTTAAGTATTTCTATTATGGTTTTAAGAAAATAATCTAATGTGAAAAAAGTTATCAGCCTAAAACATGTCTTTGTAGGACTGTAATAGAAACTAACTGGAAGCCATCTACATGTTAAAAATATGTAATAAAGAATGGCATGTTCACTGGATGAAATAGAGTCATTAATAATGAAAACAGTAAGGATAATGCAGACTTCTGGTTGAACAAGATAAGTGAAGTTTGCTTTTAGTAGCTCCTGAAACCTCATGAAAAGGAGGGTAAGATGACGGGGAGGGGGAAAAAAAAAAAAACTTCAAAGAGAAAATGAACTGGAGAGGGGGACAACAGCAGAGGTAGAGTTCAAAACATTTTAGAAGCTACAGAGTCACTGACCTGTCAAAAGTGAAAGTCTCTTACCAGGCACTGGGGAGGGGAAGGAAGAGAGAAACTACATATGCCATTTTCTTTCACCAGGCCAGGAATAACAAGTGCCAGATGCCCCTGAACTAGGAATGCAGGAGAGGCTGCAGCAGAAGGAATTATTCAAAAGCCCACAAGTAAAGACTCTCAGATCCACGGCCCAGCCCAAGACATTACCTCTCACCAATGCTGACAGAAGACTAGGTTAGGTTTTCCTGAGTAAGCCAGAGTTTTTTCCTTAAGGGTACTGGGGGAGATGAAGGAGTTTACCAAAAACAGGTGAAGTAAATGCTCACATGTAACAACAAGGAGAAAAACTCAATTATCTTTTTCACTCAACTCTGAGTAACCAGCAGTTAGGCACATGTTCCCAAGGATAGAGACTGGCTAGAGATTGGAGGATACCTCTCAAAAAAATGAATAAGCCTAAAAGAAAAAAAAAAGTTCAAGGCACTATAACTTACATGGCTTCCAATGAAGTAGATGAATTATTTTACGATTATCATCTTAAAAGCAAGGAAGTTAACCACTAAGAAGAATATATGCAGTGTATTATTTGTTGAAACTGTACTTCCGATTGGATT